ACGAAACAGTTCTCCAGTATGGGTGGCAGAAGATGATGCTTCAACTTCAGGAAATGCCATCCTCTTTCTGAGAACTTAGGTTCCATAAGAAACAGAGGAGAAGACCTTTCAAATTCTTATTTAAGTATATGAGATGCAGTTTTATTTTTTACTGAATTTGAGAGGATTACATTAACATCCTTGAATTCTCAACTACGGTTTTTTATCCCATCTGGGTCCCTATAAATTCTAGGTGCTTACTTTTATGGTCACTTTCATGGTACGTGCCATCTGAGACCATTTTGTTTCTTCGGTGGCTTTCTTAGAGTCTGGAACCATTTCCCCTGTATCACTGCTCTTCTTAACCAGGGACAGCACACACCATTGTCCTCGGGGGAGTTTTTCCAGATGACACGGGCCTGTTCCCCAACAATGGAGCTGCTCAGCTAGAATCACTAGGGGTGGGGTTCATCCAGCAGGGGCGCTTTAGAAGCTCCCCAGACCAAAGAGATAGATACGTAGCTCACTGATAACCACCACTTGACTGAAATCTTACTGACTTGTGTGCTTACGTGTGAGAGAAAGAGAGAGTGACTGACTTCAGGACCCTTCAGTATGGAGGTGTACCTACTTTAGGAAACTCAGTATCAGCAGAATCTGTTGCAAAGGTAGATTAAGGGAAACAGAAGTTACCTAATTTGGATCATTACTAAGCTGGTCAGAGTCATTGGAAAAAATTTATCTGTTCTCATTTCCCAAGGGAGACATATTGATGGTGAGTAGAGGGACAATAAGGAAGGGATGAAAGAAAGGGGGAAAGGGAAGAACATAAGATGTATGGTGGGGATCCAGCAGACTGTAATTGGTAATTTAACTTGTAAATGTATTTTTCATTCCAAACATGGTGCACTTCATTGTTTTCTTTCCTTTTTTAAGGTATTTGCTAAGTAAATATTCATTGTAAAGAAATGATAATTTTAGAAAAATGGCCCTTTATGATCCAGAATCTGTTTCATTCAAGGGGCATTTTTAGAATAAGTTGAAAGCGAATCGGACCCAGGCAGAAATTTGAAATTGTATGCACAGTGACCCCCTTGAGCATTTTCAGAAATTCTGTGCCCATTCTCCTGAGCTCAAAATGAGAGACAATACTGCCTCTTCGAACACATCACCGTGAAAGCATGTAAGAGGCCTTTACTTGTTTATCCCTGGATACTGCTGAAGGCCAAAAACAATCTCTCGTGGGACTTCTCTGAAAGGAGTGAGTTCAGATTCAGAGTCATGTTGGACCCTTGGATCAGCTGCTTTTCTTAGGTATTAAACCCACCGCGTCTAATTTGCACACAAAAGAGTTCACCTCAGTGTGGTCGATGATAGTGAAAAGTTGACACCAAACCAGCATTTGGATCAGCCTCTCCGTCAAAGCAGACCACCAGGGGTGCCTGGGTGGCTTAGTCAGGTAAGCGTCTGCCTTCTGCTCAGGTCATGATCCCAGGGTCCTGGGATCGAGTCCCGCGTCAGGCTGCCTGCTCAGCGGGGCATCTGCTTCTCCCTCTCCTACTCACCCTGCTTGTGTGCTCTCTCTTTTTTTTCTTTCTCTCCACTCTCTCGAATAAATAAAATCTTTAAAAAAAAAAAAAAAAAGCAGGCCTCTGGTAATTAGTGATTAAAGGGCTAAACATCTGACCATGTGACACAGCCATAAAATGGGGGAGAAAGTCAGCATTAATGACTATATCAGTTCCTATTTGTTGTAAGGGAGTTAGTACAGTATGGTTCAATTTTGTTACACAACAGAAAACAGACTGTGCGTGTGTCTCTGTGTGTGAGATGACAACAGGAGCCCCCGATGGATGTCCTCACTCCATTTATGCTGTCCTGTCCTCCCCGCTTGTCCCATAGCAGCCAAAATGAGCGTTTGGAAGGAGACGAGTCTGACTGTGCCCCCCACTGATTGAAGCCCTGGGTCAGCTTTCCATTTCCGGTAGATACCAGCACGCTTGCGGCCTTGGAGCTGTCATGATCTGGCCCTAGGCCGCCCCTCCACCCTTGCCTCCTGCCGCCCTTCCCTTGTTTACCTCTGGCGTCCTTTCAGTTCCTGTAACAGGCAAGCTCACTCTGCTCTCGAACGAGCTCTTTGACCTGCCGGAGCCGTCCTCCCCGACACGGGCCCTTGGCTAATCCTCTTCATTCGGGTCTCTGCTGTGGTGACAGGCTCAGCCTGTCTTACTCTCTTCATGCCCCTTGACTACGTGAAATCGGTTGTTGACTTGTTTATGGCAGATCTTGACCAAAAGAAGTGCCGTGTCTGTCTTCTTGGTCACACTGCACTGCCCCCTCATCGCAGATGTTTGAGGGACAGTAATAAAAGAGGAAGAGCGTGGAAGGATATACTCCTCAAATGCAGATAGTGTTGGTCACTAGGTAGACGATTTGGAGTAACTTTAATTGATTGCTTTTCCTTTTCGTGCCTTTGTATTTCCTAATTTTTCTGCTGACATCATGTATTATGTATGCAATTTGAATGCTTGGCCGGGCTTAAGGAAGCGGCTTTAAAGCTTCTAGGCATTTGCAGGGAGAAGGCATTGCTTGCCCACTCCGTGCCGAGCGGGGGTGTTGGATCGATGTTTGCGGAGTCCCCCGATACCTTTATTCTGAGGGAAGTTGTTTCCCCAAAGTTCTGTAGGTCATTGTCCACCTGAGTCCTTGTGTGGGTGGGAAGTAGGTTTGACCTGCACTGAGGTGCCCATGTGGAAAGCTGCGTCTCCCAGATTTCTGACCTTCATCCACGGCGGTGCACTTTTCTCTGACAATCACAGGGTTATTTTGCTCCAGGGAAAATCCATTATACACAGCAGCACATGGCGCACTGGGGTGTGATGTGCTTCGGTACACGCTGCCCTTTTTCTTTTTCCCCAAAGAGAATGCAAAGCTGCTAGCTCCCCACATAACAGTGAGTGGATGGCGTCCCTGCCTTCTTCCAGAAAAAGAATCGATGATACAGTTTATCCTTTCAGAGTCACCTGACTTGAGCACTACCTTGACCAATAGCAGTTCTATGTACCAATAGCTTTATATATTAGAAATTTAACAGGTGTAGGAGTTATGTCTTAAAATAGGAGACTTATTTGCGTGTGTGTGTGTGTGTGTGTGTGTGTGTGTTTTCAGCTAGTTCAAGTCTGACCTGATGAATTGCATGTCATTTGTTTTGGTGTTGGAGAGCACTTCTTTGGGCTAGGAAGTTCCTCAGTGGTCCAGTATCTCAACAAAAGCAGGTCATCTCTAGCTATGACACTGGACGGTTAAGGTTGTACCTCGCTTGTGGAGTTCGTCACCTGTGTTTTTACTTGAATGCTACTTTCTGGAAATCCATGCAAATTTGAGGGAGAGAGGAATCCGAGATTAGAAAACTTGATGACTGATTTAGAAACAGAAAGAAGCTATTCCCTCAGACAAAATCATGTGTGTGTGTGTGTGTGTGGCTTTTTTTTCCACATGGATTTCTATCATTTTCACATGCGGTAGAAGATCTGGTTATTATCAGAGCCCTAAAACATTTTGTTCATTTCATATCCGTGTAGCTTAAGTCAGACTGACTGACGTTCTTTCCAAATTTAGGTAAAGACAGCTAACGATGAGTGATGAAAACTTGTTTTATTATTTATATTACGAATGCCAGGCAATTCACGGGGGGAGGGGAACATCATTTTCAGCCCTTTGCAAGAGCAGTCCTGCAAGACATGTGCCGAGTAGGAGTGACTTATGTTCAGAACCCCCTAATGGCATGGAGCAGCGGTCCAGATTGCTTCTAGAACAGTGCCCAAATGTACAACCGGTTAGAGCTGCTTTCCGTCTGGAAACAGGCGCTGCTGAAAGAAAAGTGCCGTGCCCAGCGGAATCATCGCAGGATACTTTGGATTAAATGAGCAAAGACAGCTCTGAAGAAAAGTTGACTTACTCTAGTGGTTGGAATGCAGCCCCCGGGAATAGCAGAGCTGGAGTGTGTCATCGGGGCTTGGTGTGGGGCGCCCCAGGAGCGGGCTGGGTCCCAGGGACACCGAGCAGCAGAAGGATGCCGCCTGCTTGGCTAAAAGCCCCAGCAGCAGGGGCAGCTACGGTGAAGCCCCTCGGCCAGATGAACGGGGACCCTTCTCTGGTCACAATAGCCATTCATGCTGAGCAGCCTCATTAAATATTCAGCCTGTGCTTCCGGCAGCTCATTAGGGCCGCAATGAGCAGTGACGCGGATGCTGGAAAGCCGAGGGCCAGCCGGCATCAGTAGGCAGAGGCTGAGTGAGCTGCCGATGGCTTTTCTGTGCACTGCGTGTCCTGTGATGACCAGTGTTTGCTCCCTGCTTTGCCTCAAGTCCAGGTAAAATAACACAGACAACAGGCAGGGGACACCTGTGAGCTCCAGGTTCTTCTCCCCAATGTTGTCTGTCCAGGGCCCCGGATCCTGAGGGCTTGCCCCCTCCGAGCCCTCCGACCCTCTTAGAAAGCTGTGTGTAGCTTCGGGGGCCTTCCGAGCACTGACAATGTGCTGCTATTGTGTACTTGGGGCTGTTTGATGACTGCGTTTGGGAGGATTTGAGGTGTGGTTTTGAACTTGGGGCTGGAGGTGTGGGAAGACCAAACGACTCTTCTTAATGGATCAAATTTAGAACTATTGTGGGGTCATCCTAACAGTGTGTGGAGCAGATTTTGCTCTGTGGATGCCAAGTTTTGGTGGATTAGAGCAGTTCACTAGTAAGCTTTCTCCTTTTAACTCTCAGGAGAGATATGGTACAATAAAATATATAATATATATATATATTATATATTTATATTCTTCAGCTATTGGGGATTCTTCCAATAGATGGAATGTTGTCCTTCTTAAATCTTGTTACTTTCCCATGGGCTTGCACTCAGTGCTGTGTGGTATTTAAAGCTGGTAAAATCTGTGAAGGAAGAATGGGAAAAAATGAACTCCAAGTGTATTTCTCTGGTCTCACTGTTTTCATGTTTTTCTCTTTGCTGCACAGGAAATGTTTTCAGACAGCTCATTTCTATGTGGAAGATAGCAGTTCACCTCGGGTCGTCCCCAATGAAAGTATCCCTATTATCCCTATTCCGGGTAAGTAAGACACACTCTTCTTTCCAGCGGGCTAATCATTTTCCTCTTTTGTTGGTACTTTTGTGTGACACCCATGACAAAATATTATTTTCCTAGCCTTTGAAAGCTTGCCCTAAGAGATCCTTCCCTAAGGGGGATTTAATGAAATCTTTTCTCCTTTACATAACTGCACTGTGATGGAGTCCTCTTTTTAAGAGGAACAAATAGCTATGAGTTAATACAGGAGAGACTCACGGACAGGGAGGGGAAGTACCAACAGACAAAAGGGAAAGCAAAGATCATTTGCAGTCTGCTTGGACCGGGTTTCATTTTGATAGGCAACTTGCACTTACATTTTTTTTTTTTTTAAATCACCATTTGTGATAAGGTTTTCTCGAGGTTTCTCTTGAGATTCCTTCCTCTACAAATACTTTATCTTAGCATTGGAAGTTTTGCTTCTTAGGAACTTGTGGGGAAGTTTAGGGAAACACTCTGGGTCCAGGACTCATTTCATGGGTCCTTGGGTAAAAAAGGTGAAACACTCAGCTGATGTTGGGGGGTCAGGACTGGTTGGAATACGATGTAGTGTATCCCGGCAGGTGCCGCTGAGAAGTTCGGTAGCTGGTTCGTTGTGGTAGATGGGATGTGGGAACTGAAGATGGCTCCCAGCTTGTTCGTTTGGCATAACTGCCTTTTTTGCCAAATCTGAACTTTCTTCCTGTGGGTTTCTTTATGTGCTGGTAAACATCTATCTCTCGATATGTCCAACATCCACCCTTCTGACATTATTTTTTTGGTAACCAGAAGCACTGCTTTTCCCCTAGCGCTACATCCCGCCCACCTGCAGCTTCCCGCATTCTCCAGAAAGGTCTTCCCCATCTGATATGCCATGTATTGTAGTTGTTGGTTTATTGTCTTCTCCTCCTACAACAAGAGCTTCATAAAGGCAAGTGGGTGTCTCCTTGGTGCTAGTTAGTCCCCGGCACATAGTAAGCATTCTTTAATTCTCTGAATAAATGAATTCATGTCAGCAAAGCATTATTCGGGTTCCCCAAAGGCTGTATCTGTGAAGCTGGGAGGTACAGTCATTCCCTTCGTGCCACAGAATGTTTCTGTTGTTGAAAAACCTTCATGAGGGGCGCCTGGGTGGCTCAGTGGTTAAGTGTCTGCCTTCGGCTCAGGTCAGGATCTCAGGGTCCTGGGATCGAGCCCTGCATCGGGCTCCCTGCTCAGTGGAGAGTCTGCTCCTCCCTGTCCCTCTGCCTGTCGCTCCCCCTGCTTGTGAGCACGCCCTCTCTCTCTGTCAAATAAATAAATATTAAAAAAACAAACCTTCACTAGGTGCAGTTACGGTTGGGAAGTTAATTGGACCTTTGTGTGTCAGTATATGTGAAGTCATTGGGTATGGCTGGAATTGGCCATGTTTTCTCCAATCTGGTCACCTTCTCTCATGAAAGCTTGTCACACGGAAACAAGAGGGGTAGCAGAAAAGTCTCTGGGTGAGTTCTTACTGGATCACTTCATGGCTGCTAATCCATCCCCAGACAGATGGGGTAGGTTTTATGCTCCCCTTCATTCTTCTTCGCTGAGCCTTACCCTTGAGTCTTGGTGGAGGAAATCCCACTCCTGCTTTTGAAAGGCAAGGAAGCAGACAGGGATCCTCAGTCTTACACTTACACGGAATAAGTAGTTTTGTCCAAGCTGCAGGAGTCACGCACTAGCACGTGTGTGTAATCATTTTCCTCTCGAGACACCCAGAGTATGTGTTGGCCTCTGGAAAATGCCCGGGGCCTTCTCTTTCCTCTGCCCTGAGTCATCTGACAGATACAGCTGGTGGGTACCTGTGTAGTTGAAATATATTTTAAAAGGTTAGGTGGTGAGATACTTCTTGGGCTGTCTTTCCATTTTTCTTTTCTTTTCCCACTGGATGGGGAATCAGAAAACCTAGGATCTCACTCTGCCTCTGCTGTGAAAGCTTTGGTCACTGCCTTGACCTCTCTGAGCCTTAGTTTCCAGAATCTGTAAAGTAAACAGGATGCTTGATCTACCCACACTTGCGGCAGTGTTAAAACTCAGGTAAGGTGTTATGTGTAAAAGCATTTTGGAAACCATAACCCAGAAATGTCCGTTGTTGAAGCTTTCCTTCCCAAATCACAGTATGGTTCATCCCAGTAGCTGTGGAGAATGAGCATTTGCCTGGTACTCAGGTTAAGATTGTCCCAAACACTGAACCAAATTTAGTCAGTGTGGCCCACCACGCCTTGCTCTATGCCTTGGACTTGGGGATTTTCAGTTCACTAGAATCCTCAGAAACTGCCAATCCGTTGTGCCTGCCTTGCCACACCTCTGGATAGGTGTTTCCAGTGTTTTCTGCCTCATTTCCCATCTACCTGTTCAATCACCACTGTAAATACAGTAGTTCTCCCCACCCCACCCCCCTTTTTCCGTGAGGCATATGTTCCACCACCCCCAGTGGATTCCTGGAACTTCAGGTCTTATTAAACCCTGTGTATACTGTTTTCTCCTCTACATACATACTTGTGAGGAAGTTGAATTTATGTATCAGGCTCAGTAAGAGATTCATAATAATTAGAAATAAAAGAGAAGAATTATAACCATATATTGTAATAAAAGGTACGTGTGTCTCTCTCAGAATCTCATTGGACTGTCCTCACCATTCTTGTGATGGTGTGAGATGATAAAATGCCTATGGGACGAGACACGGTGAGGGGAATGACATAGGCATTGTGATGTAGCACTGGGCTCCTGTGGTCCTTCCGACCATACATGGGAGGAGGGGGAGGGTCGCCTGCGTCTGGACTACAGGTTCAGGTAACTAAAGCCCCAGATGAGGGGGTACTACTGTACCCACAACCCAAAGGCATTTCTGGAAATGTGAGTTTTTCCTAATTCCATACTCACTGGTAGTGTAAGTATATGGAGAAAAAACTGCTTCAGACTCTCCACTGACTGAGAAATCCGTGGTGTTCAGCTGTGCCTCACTGGACATGGTGCAGCCTCGAGGAGCTCTAAGCAGCTGTGGAAATGAAGGAGTTGGAATCCCATATGCAGTGTGAGGGTCAAGGACTAGAGAACCAAGATAAGGCCATTCTTCTTCTGTTTTCCCAGGTGGCACAGCCTTCACTGGGGGGAACATGCCAAGACAAATCAACTCATTTCACCCTTAACTGGGAAGAAGTTACTCTCCGTGACCTTTCTTTAAAGATTTTTCAGTTTTGGGGCGCCTGGGTGGCTCAGTTGGTTAAAGCCTCTGCCTTCAGCTCAGGTCATGGTCTCAGGGTCCTGGGATCGAGCCCCGTGTCGGGCTCTCTGCTCGGCAGGGAGCCTTCTTCCCCCTCTCTCTCCCTGCCTGCCTCTCTGCCTACTTGTGATCGCTGTCAAATAAATAAATAAAATCTTAAAAAAAAAAAAAAATTTTTTTTTTTTTCCAGTTTAATCCCATTCTCTCCCTTTTTCGGAAACAACTCCCCCACTGACCTGTATAATAGTCCCATTTGTAAAATATTTTGTCATTTATGATGCAGTCTAACCATCCAGTGTTCTCTTTATTCTTATGGTTTCTTCTGGTTATTAGCATCCTACTATGTCATGCAGAAGAAATTCAGTACAAGAAAAACACACTTTTTAACAATTCATGAGCTATTTTCACTCTGGTAAAGTTTTCAACCCTTTTCCTTAGTGGAGACCTCCTTGGGATTCTTCTGAATGATTTACCCTAGGAATTATCTCATTGTTCTTATTTCCAAAAATACGATATTTACAGACTTCATAGGGAGTATTTGTTCTACCTGCTAGACCTCCGTTATAATTTTTTTAAGATTTTTATTTATTTATGAGAGAGAGAGCAAGTGGGATCATGACCTGAGCCTGAGGCAGATGCTTAACCGACTGAGCCACCCAGGTGCCCAACCTCAGTTATTTCATCCTTTTTCAAAACCTAGTAACGGGACTACTGGGCCTGCGATTTAACAACTTTTATCACTTGAACTCCTTTCCTATAACTGATTGTTTAAAAAAAAAAAAAAAAGAGAGACTTCCAGACCACCGCTCTAGTGAACTGAACCATTATACCGGTTAAGAAAGTTACGGATGCAACAGGGCAAATTTGAGAATTCAGGCACCAAACTGTTACAAAACAGAGCTTCTGGGTCATCCCTGGACTATGCAATAAGCTCTGTTCTGAGAACTTCCTTTACATTTAAGCTTGTTTTTAGGAAACCTCATCCTACAATAGATACTGAGCGTTTACTGACGCCATGGATTATTTTCACTACAGTCAGTCCTACAGAGACAGGTGCAGGGGATAGCATCATCTAGAAGCCGCAGAAACTGAGGTTCGGAGACCCTATTAATTCACCCAAGCTGATGGGAAGGGTGGAACTAACATTGGAATTCCTCTGTGTGGCTTCAAAGCACAGACGCCTGGGAAATGGCTCTGCCACCCCTTGGCTGGCTCTTCCGAAGGTTCTGCTATCTCAAGCCTTCAAGCCCCTCATTTGGATATTGATTCATTAAACCAAGGCCTTTCAAATACATGTGAGCATCCCCTGTAGTTTTTCCCCCCCGAGTTCTTGATGACGATCTTCCACCAGCCCTGACCTTTTGCCTCTCGGCTGAATTCTCTTAAAAAGCCCTCTGAATAGTTTCATTATTCTTTTGTTGAAGTTTCCTCCTTACCAAAAACTCCTCTCTACCTCTGTTACCTAGTCCTTTTTGTTCTCTTACTTTCTAAGAAAAAGGCTCTCCACCCACCTATACTTTCCTTCCCTGTGCAAAAATAGGCACATTTCAATATGTGATTGAAATGACGTGGGGAGAAATTTATAAATACGTTGAAACTTTTGGGTGATTCTGCTGTGGTTGAACTGCAGAAACAGTTCTGGTCTTCAAATCCCAAAGCACAAGTGGAATCAGTAAGTTACGCTAACTTTTTCAAAAGTATTATAAAATAGGCAAATGATTAAAGAGAGCTTTGCTAATTGATCACTCGGCCTTTGGAG